GGCAGCCTTCTTGTCTTCAGGTGCAGGAGGCAAATCTTTTGGCTGCTCGGTCTCACTGGCAGCCTTCTTGTCTTCAGGTGCAGGAGGCACATCTTTTGGCTGCTCGCTGGTCTCACCATCCCCTTTCTTGTCTTCAGGTGCGGGAGGCAAATCTTGGGGTTCACCACTGGGAAGGATCGTGGGCTCCATGTCGTCACTGTCGGTTGGGGTCATGATCAAAGACCCTTGGTCGGTTGGGGTCAGACACAAAGCTTCATGGGCACCACACACTTGGCAAGGGTTCACAATCTTCATGGAGACATCCTGGGACATGTGCTCACAAGCTTGGGAATCCTCCATCATAAGCTGCGACTGATGACTTTCATCAGGTCGAGACACATCGGTGAAGGTGGACCCCGACAAACCTTGCCCCACAAAGTCAGGAAAGTCACACTCTCCAAAATTCAAAGTCTCTTCTGAATTTGTCCTGGAGAGTTTCGCTGGCACATGGCGAGGAACTGCCTTGGATTTTGCAGCTGAGCAAATCACGGGCGGGGATAGGCTCTCAGGCTCAATCTCCATTGGACGAAGGCGTCGAAGACCACTCCTCCTGGCACCAAAAGGTAAAAAATATGCTTTTTAAAGGGTGGTTGAAAGGGTTTGTGATGGTTTGCGCTTTCAACCAATTCAAGCGGTTTAGTAAAAACTGTCCTGAACATGTCCGGACCAGCTGGCGGTTCAGCTGGCGGTTGAACTGGAGGTGCACGAACAGGGTTTGGATTCCATTCTACCCCCGCTGCCGGAGGTGGCACGATTGTGTGAAACCCCCCTGCAGGCTCAGAAATCCTATAATCCACATGCTCTTGCGAATCCTCAATCCACTCCACATCCATGGCGCTAGAGCTCATTAGTTCAAAATAGTTCAAAGCTTCAGATCAAAGCCGCACAAGATTGCTACAGCCGGTGGTGAGATCGAGGGTGTTTTTCAAGCGAGTTGATTTCATTAAAATGCCATCATTCTCCTCCCAATTGCTGACAGGACTCTTGTTTTGGCACAGCAGCTTGCGCGGAGCCTTGTTCTTGGGTTCGGCTTTGGAGGAATCCCCAGTGTAGTGGCAATCAAAATGCTAGAGCCAAGCTTTAAGGATCTTTAAGGGATCAAAACAAACGAACAAGTCATTGACTGGTTTCAAAAGTCAATCAAATTTTGGTTATAAGTCTTAAGGTCGACCAAAGTTTGGCTGCACAGCAAATTTGATTGCAAACCCCAATCTCCAGCCAAGTAGTGGGTGAATTGTCCCCAGTGTTCCAAGCCTCCTCAAAAGACAAGAGTTTGTGGCGTCGGTAAGTTTTGGAAGTGTGACCTTCAGGGGGGCTAGCAGGAAACCGACAAGGTACAGCGAGTTCAGTCGATCACAACCACCATGTGATCTTTGATCATATCAGCACAACCCTGAGAAAAGAGCAACAAAATCCAGATTTCATGAGACTTGTGACCTGACTAGAGGGCCAACATAGCTGTGGCTAACTGTTATCACCTAGAGGATGCGCTGAACTTGACCATCAGTGAGGTTCAAGTGCCCTCTCAGAAGCAGGAGGGGTTTTGCGGCCCCAAGAACTTTCTCGGCAGGGTATAGCCTCAATCGCCACACCTGCCAAGTCAGGTCTTGTATCAAAGAAGGGTTTTGACACTCGTCATGCACTAACTATTACATGTGTGTTTTTGTCGGAGCCTGTCGAATAGCTGGGGATTCACAGACCGGTGTCGCATTGAAGTAAGAAGCTGCATTGCGCTGCTTCACATTCTTGAGCTGGACACTGGACGGTCGCCAAACCATGATGGTACTCTCCTTCACCTTCACATCGAACCTACACAGCTTGGGCCAAAGTAGGGCACAACACAAAACTTGTCCTCTATAATTACCCCATCAGGTTGTTTCCAAAAGACTTTCACATTTAAACTTCAATCGTCCAAAACAACCCGGTTTGATTCCACCCTCGCCTGTCGGATGTTTCTTGGCCTTGGCACACCTCAGGCGGCCTCTGGACTTCATGCCCAGCCACCTGAAAGTCAACCGTTCCTGCGCGCTCGATCTGGTGCATCACATCCCGGAGGCTGGAAGGGTCTCCGTCATTTCCGGATTCATCTTCGAAGACGACGATCTCTTCGTCCGAATCCAGCTGGAACAAGTAAGCTTTGTGTGAGTTTTCCTGGAGCAAAATAAACGGTTCTGATTAAATAAGTTCCCCAAATTGAATGTGACGGGTTTGGCTATACAATGAATCTTGCTTTTTGATATTATAGTCAGTAATATAATAAAAACACCTTTCATATGCGGCATATGTGTTCAGTGCATAGCTGGAGGAAGTTTACTTAGTAATAGCGAAGCCATGTATCATTAAGAGTTTCATTGTTTAAGCGCCCAGAGCTAAAGACTGTAATGCTGCAACATGTCCCAAAGTCCAAACGTAAAAAACATCGAGCACTCCTCCAAGAAAGCTGAGGCTTTGGCATCAAGCAACCAAACGCCTGCACCAAACATAAGGATCGGCTCGTCCACAGTCAGTGAGCATTCCCCACTGGCCACCAGGAAAAGTTTCGGCCCCTCCACAATCACTCCCACCATGTTGCCACTGACAGTGAATGTGTGGAGTGAAGCATATTTGGCTTCAAAGTCAGTCTTTGTCTTTGGTTCCTCCGGGAAAACGGTTCCCCAATCAAAGTCAGAGGCAATGGCAGGCGGGTCGTCAGAACCAGAAGGTGTCACAGCCAAAGATTCAGATGATGTCGTGGCACGGGAAGGTGTAGAGCCATTGGCACGGGAAGGTGTAGAGCCATTGGCTGTGGTACTGGGAGTCCCACTTTGCACCTCACTTGCCCATCGGCGATCGAAGTCTTGCAGGATTTTTCTCCATTCTGGTGCACGAGCAGGGTCGTTGAGGTAGGTCCGACGGATATCTGGGGGCACGGTCAATACATCATCCTCAACCTTGCAAATCTGAAGGTTTGGAACTTCAGCAATGACCGGTGTCTCATCAACGGGCTGAGACTTGTACTTCGGAAGCATTTTGCCCATTTGACCCGCTCCATTTTTCCACTGTTGGAGAAGTGCATCCGCCGAAGTTGCCATGCAGTAGGTGTAATTTGACTGGTTGTCCGTCACACTGAGGATGGGAATACCCAGCTTCAAGCACGATCTTTCAAGAGACCCACAGTAAGCGGTTGTGTGCACGATAACAGCTCTTTTGATATGAGCCCCTGAGATGGCCAATGACTCATTGCAATCAAATGCAATCTACACACAGGTCAAAACAAGACTTTGAAGATACAACAATACACTCCAACAAAACACGAACCACACACTTACAACTAAACACACAACCAAGCTACCCAACAGCTGCTCAAGTGCAGCGGTCCAAAAGGATTCTCCAGCTATCCATTGGGCCGTCTCCTGAAAATCAGTGAAGTTCTTCCGCTGGTCATTCGATGAAAGATGTGCCCTGGCATTGGGGATGCAAAACTCATTCTCAGCGAGTGCCTTGGGCACAGATTGCAGATTGAATCCCTGCAATCTCCAAAGCTCTGACGAAGTGATAGGGTTCACTTTCACGGGCTGCATTTGCTCCTCGTTGCCCTTGACAGCTCGATGACCAGTCCCTTTGCTAGGGAGTGCACAATCACTCACAGCAAGCCACGCTTTGAATGCCCCTGGCCGGTCACTGTTTCTATGCAAAGACGAAGTGTCAATGGACAAGCACAGATCCCTCAAATCCATGCGGTGCTGCTCAATCTTGTCCTCTACCAACCTGGGCAAAAGTGAACAAATAATCAATTACATTTCAGGAAAACCTTGAACATGGAGTCTAAACAAAAACTTTTCACACATCTATCACACCTACTAGCCCCCCTACCAAATTTTTGCAAAGTCCCACCTCGCGTCCTTTCGCAAAGTCCCACCACCGGCAGTTCCCAGAAGCAAAGGAGGGAAAATCAGCCCAGCGGAGCCTCACTGCATCTTGTCACTATAAGAAAGATAGTCCATTACTTAGAATGAATCAAATTATGCAAGAAGCTCCAAAAGTCAACAATAGCAAAATGGGACCAATTCAAATTATTGAGAACAGTGACACTGCTGGTTACGGTCAATGACCTTGGCAATCATTGTGCAATGCTTGTTCAGCACCGCCGTCGACAAAGTCCCAAGCTTGCTAAAGTCCGTGATCACTATGCAAACCACTTCATCTTGCTTGACCTGGCGGCCAGTTCAAAGAAGAAAACCAACACATTGCAGGGTCACAAGGTGTTGTTTGATGAATGGCAGTGGTGCAAATTTCTGGTGGGTGGTTCCCGGTGCCTTGAGCGGAATAGAACAAAAGGACATGTCATTTAATTACACAGCGGTGTGACAAACATAACAAAACTGAGCGCCTTCAAATCAGCAGCGGTCGATGGAAGCCATGTATCCAGCATTGGGATCGAGCTGATGTCCGGCACAAGGCTGATGTTGCAAACCTTCCCCATGTGGGATTCAACAAGCCTGAATGTCCAAGGCGCCCCCGATCACTACAAACATAATTTGAGCAATCAATCAGCCATCAACAAAAACAAGCAAAAATGTCACAATGGCTTACTGCATTTCAAGAAACGGGACTAACAACTGTAACATCTGAGAGACTTTTGTTAAAAAGAATTGAAAGGTTTGCCAATTGTTTTGTCTGAGGCTCCCCTTTCCGATCATGTTCTGAGCCTTCAAGTGCTGCACTTGCACAATATGTTCACGGGCTTTCTTCTGCTGGAGTTGGTTCTTGTAGCGCACCCAAGCCACTTCGTCAATCCTTGACTAATTCAACAAGAGGGACCCCGAGCCAGATATAGTTCACGAACATAAAACTCAAACCTAAAATATTTAGTAATTATCTCCATGTCACGAAATCTTGCTTCGAACTTCTTGGTATTGCGCCTGTACGGTAGCCTCTTCCATGGCTTCCACCTCCATGACACTTGGAAGCTCTTGGGAGGCAAGCTTCAAATCCACAAGCTCAGTCCAAGCCGACAAATGCCGCACGCTCCAATTCTGTAGTGCGACGTCGATGCAGCTCAAGACCTCCTGGTAGTAGTCCCTGGGTTGCCAACAAAAACTGTAAAAAAACTAACCCATTGAATTGATGCCTCAAGTTTGTTCTAAAGCAATCTCAAAGAAGCATATGAATATTTGCTGTGAAATGCTCGGGCGCCTTGCCATGAAGGAAGCTTCCAAATCGGCAAGCACTTTGGACGCGGTCTCTGGGGCATCCTTGTGAAATTCCTTTGCCTCAAGCATCAACGCAAGCATGACACAAGTGTAGTCCATGCACCGGTCCCAGTCATGAAGCGAACATCGGATCTTGGTTCGGGATGTCAACCGGACTTTTCGAGCTTGGTGATTGAAGCTGGCAATGATGTTCCTGAGAAACATGGTTTGGCCTTCAGGTGTGACTGTCAAGATCCGCTTCACATAGGAATTGTTCTGGTTGGCTGGCGAGGCATTCACCAGCCACCGCGTCGACTTAAGCAATTCGGAATTCAGACAGCAGTATGCCCATTTGTGGTAGTGGAGGTGTTGAATGATCAAAGATCGACTCTCTTCTGTCGTGCCACACAGCAAGTTGAGTATGGCTTTGATTTTCTCATCGTCCACCGCCCACTTTCCGATCATTCCTTGACTTGTGTTGAATTCGCACACGACGGATCGAAGCCTGGCTTCCGTTGACATGGAGCTGTCATGGGATCCATCCTTGGCCTTCAGCCCCATGACATGAGACAGCTGAAGCGACAACGACAAGACAGAGGGAGCTTGTCGCTCTGATCCACGGTATGACAGGCAAAGGTTCATGTATGCACGGTTGGCTGCCGGGCAGTTTACCGTCACATGCATAGGAAGCAGCCAAGCACGGTCCAGGAAATGTTGAAATGGAACCAACCTGTCCCAATCTGTTTCCACATCCAACTCAGAGCACATCATCAGCACAAATGCAATGGCGGATGCTTTCGTGTATCCCTTGATCAAGTCCACCGTGTAGTTGTCCAGGTTTTTGCCTTTGTGTCAGCAACATTCATGCTGGTATAGAACTTAGTAGAGAGTCAGAGTCTACATCTAGTACTACTTCTGGTGCACTCTTGTCAAACAGCTGAAAGACGGTCAAAGTGTGAAGTTAAGGTATGCCACTTTTTGGGCCAGCATCCTCAAAGGAAACCTGCCGAAGTGCTGGTCAAGCAAACTAGTAAGGCATAGAAGGAAACCAAGAGGTCAGCTCAAAAGTAAACTGGTCAAAAGCAATGCGATCATGAGTTCTGGCAAACAAATCAAAGCAAGCAGCATTGACCGATAAGGGCTCCCGGGATAGCTCGATGCCACCCATCAACATACTCTCCAGGCAGACTACCCAGTCCCTTATCACTGGCATGCCGTCAGTAGGCATGTCAAGCCTGAGTTCCACAGGCTTCAGAGGTGTAAAGTAACAGTGAGCTGAAATGATACAAATGTAAACCTCCAGCAAACAAATCAAGCAACTTTAAGGCCGTGATTGGAAGCTTGATGGTATCACCTTCGACATTCGCATCCAAAACCTGAGACGTGCTGCTACAATATTGCTAGGACCCCAAAAGGAATAGACTGGGTGCTAGTGTTGCCAGTATAATAAAACTACAATAAGTTCATAAACATGATAAGGCCCCAACACAAGTGTTGGCTGCTTTGAAGAGGGTGGGAAGTCCACGCTTGTCTGCATACCCAATGTACCAAGTCTGCAATTGTTTCAGGCTGGTCTCTCTACATTGGGCATTCTTCGCTGCCAAATAGGCAGGGATGCTGTCCACGGGATGTGCCATACCTGCTGCGTTCCCCTCACCATCGTCCTCATAGAGAGCAAGAAATTCTCTCAGTTTCTGGGCGCGGGTTATTTTTCAATAATGTTTCAGAGGGTGTTCAAGAAACAATCACTGGTCTTAGTCTTTTGATGGAGCTTTCAGTGTTTCCACTGGCATTATGCTTCATCCCTTCCCTCCCTAACCCCTCCCACCCACACACACACACACAAAGACGCACACACACACAGACATTGAACCCCAGCTTGTTTGACTCACACCAAGTTGAAGGAACCATCAAGTTCACTATGATGTTTGAGGCTCAATGATTATGAAAGAGATTCTAGTATGTGTTGAAAAAGCAAATCAACAAAGAGCAGCATAATAGCTTAAAGTCTTGAGGTCTAAGAATCCCTCAGCAATGATGTATCTCCTTCCTGCTTCTTGATGAATTTTTCAAAGGCGGAGCATTGTGTTTTCTTGGGTGGTTGCTGCTTCTTCCCCCCAGTATCCGCAACATCCTCCGTCTTTTCCTCCACTTTCACGCTCCCAGGTGGTGCGTCCACTGCCTTCGCCAGGAAAGGGTTCGGGCCTCAAGCCGGCGATGGCGAGCAAGGAAAAATGCAATGTGCTTAAAACAGAAACTTATATATGGCCAAGCTACCTGTCATGTCAACGAGCGCTGCAGCTCCCAAATGATCAAAACAATGGCTTCGGGGAACAAAGGAAATTCAATCTGACAAGTCGCTGGATGATACTTAGTGCATTGATTTTGATTGCTGACCTCTATCTTAAAGTCAATGCACCTGGGCTCCCCAAGTACATTGAAAACCCTAGGTTTTGGATCATCCTGCTTTTGGTCGGTTTGGAATGTCCCCTTTCTGGAAAATCACTCGGCCCCAAAATCAATGGTTTTCAATGCACCTGGGCTCCCCAGGTACATTGAGTTTGTTGTTGGGCTTGGGTTTCAAAATCAATGCACTAAGAATGGCAAAAGTTCGCTCGCAGTCAAGTAAACTGTGTGACCTCAAAGTCAATGCACCTGTGCTCCCCAAGTACATTGACTTTCAACCATGTTGTGTTCAGAAGACCTTCAGTGCATCGATTATTGACTGGTGAACACTCCAAGTACATCGATTTTCCTGCGCATCACTATCCAGGTGCATCGATTTTCCTCGAAAGTTCCGGGCAAGTGCATCGATTTTCC